TTAAAATTTATCTTGTATGAATTATTTTTCCGTTATAACGTAAAAAGAAAATTGAAAAATTATTGCTCAGCTGGTGGTTGTTCTCCTTATCCTTGCAAGCTATATATATCTTCTAAGCCTATGTATTTTTTAGATATATAGACTTATTTGATTATTTAAGATCATATTTAAATTTAAAATCATGTGCATGTGCAGTTCTATGTTTTGTGTGCATTATTTTTAGGTATAATTTCGAAGTTCGAAGTGATAGCTTTAAGTAACTAGAGCAATTCAATCTCTATCCCCATTATAAAGTTTTAATTGCCTTTTTTTTCATTATCATTTCAATTGCGTAATGCCTGATACATGTCTTTTTGGTTCCTGCTCTTTGCGTGTATGTGTGTTTGGGAGGGATAGAAATAACTAAGATGTATATAAGTTGTGACTAATTAAATTCATAATCGATAAAAGACTAGTTAAGTCGTCCCTTTTTCCAGGCAACTAAATACCCTCTATCCCTAAGTCTGCAAATAAGTAGTTCTTACCAGTATCCCTGGCCTTCAATCTATTGCTTTTAATGGTATCCCTAATTTTGCTCTTTGCTGCAGATGCATTATAATCAGCAAAACGAAAAGCGTGATATCAATCTATCTCATCCTTAAGTTTTGCCATTGTTCTGCTTCCTTTGGTCGTTGAACCAACAGTATCCGCAGGTACTTTTGTATTCATTTACCCTTTGTCAAGTGGGCGATCACATGAACACATCATTTTATAGTAGCTTGATCTGGGTAGTCGGAAAACTTCTCATCTGCAAGTGGGCATAACTGCAGCAAATGTCATAGTTTCCTTAAAACCCATTTTTATTCCACATCTTACCATTTTGCATATCCTTTTGCATATCAAGCACGAAGGCAAAGTTAGGGCATGAGGAAATACCCATGTTTCTTTATTTCTTCTCAGCTATTGTCCATCTAGAAACACATTATTTATCAATCTTGTTTTATTTTTAAGCAGTTCTATAGAATAATTATTATGTGATAATATTTTTAAGCTTAGCTAGCCTACTGCGCTTCTAAATCCCCAAATAAATATCCATATATCTTACTAATAGTTTTGCTGTCAATCTAACTTTTTTGTTGAAATGTTACTTTCTTCGAATTTATTCATCCCGTACTTTCATTCGAAATGGATTTGAACTCGCGATTGTAGACGAGGCGGTTCT